ATAGATAGATAGATAGATAGATAGATAGATAGATAGATAGATAGATAACCCACATTCGATCTCTGGGACTCTACAGAAACAGCACACAACAATACATCAGGTTAACTCTCCCCAGTGTGTACTTGTACAGATAAAAATCTGTTTGATTTAGATCTTATGTCTCTCTGATGTATATTTAAGTGAACTCTCGCTCCTTTGAGGACTATCATGATGGCTGTGTGCTCTCATCAGTGCTTACCCTATGGCCCGACAATGGCAACTGTCACCGACATGCTGCAGTGGCGTGTTTCATTACCCCGGCCTGTTATACAGTTTTTTTTTCTGGTGGTACATCCTGTCCTTAAAGCTCCCTCACTCTCTAGTTTCAATACTTGCATCAGGATTTTTCTTAACTTATTTAATGACTTCATTAGTTTGCTGGCCTTTAAACAAAGACCCTGTAATGAGTGTTAACTAAAGAGACATGCACAGAGCGCACACACACACATACACAGACACTAATGCAAGTTAATGAAGGTCAGTGCATTAGTAGCCTCTGGAGGGTGGGCCAGGAGCAAAACCCGTACACCCCTCACGTACATGTGCACCCCCCACCCACCCACACACTCATTTGTTCTCATTGCTTTGTCCATCCGTCCCCAACACTACCGCGTAACCCCCACGACAACCACCTCCCATCCTCCCCTCCCTCCCAATCTGGATCTCCTTCATCTCTCTGAGAACCTGCAGTTTCCCCCCACCCCCCCCCCCCTTCCTCCACCTCCTCCTGCATTTGTCTTCCACGCCTCCATCTCTCTCCCTCGCCTGCTCTGTGAAAATGTCACATTCTCAGGAGACAGGGCTGTACTAATTTGAAAGGAAGGCTGAAGCAGCATGGAAGAAAGATTGCTCCCTCTGCCGCTATGACTCTACCCCCTTGCACGTTCTTTTGCACTCCACCACGCCGTCTTCTCGCTATCGTTGCACTTCTCGCAGTTTGCTCCCACAAATATTTGGTTTCCTAATAAATCCTGACTTTTTCTCTCTTTTATTTGCATAATTTGGTGTATCTGTTGTGCTAAAAGTCACGTCCCAACTGCAAATTGTCGTCACGCTGTTTTGAATCATTCCCAAGGAACGTTTTCCTCATTATGATACCTGAGCAAAGAATGGCTTCTCCTTCTTTTAGCTGTCTCCCTTTTCTTGAGCGTGTGTCTTTCAGACTTAACGAATATACAGACAGATGCATGGAGTGTCTTCATTAGGCTTAATCTAATGATGTTGGAGACTGGTGCATGCTGACAGATGTGCACAATTCCTTAATCTGATCCCATGTCTCCTCTGCTATGACATCCTCTACATCTTGCAGACATTCACACGCAGAGCCAAATGTGACGATACAAAGACTTAAAAATCTAATTAAGTTTAGAGCCGAGTGCTTTGCATTGTAACTCGATATACACTCCCCAACTCACTTGGTCAAATGCATTATTAACGTGTGTGTTGGCATGTGTGCACAGAGGAGTAGGTGTGTCTCCAAGTTTTCTTTAAATTAGTTTAAAATTTTCATTCGTATTCTGCTACCTGACAACTACAATAGAAAACAGCACAACCACATAGGAAATGTTTGTGTGTATCTGTAAAACCACGACCAGCCAGAATTTCTGCTATTGTGTGTCTTTTGCTTTTTAACTGTGACATTCCCTAACCCCTATTTCTGCCTTGTCAAAGTGATGTTTTTATGATGTTGCATTGCCATTGTGAGCAGAAAACCATTTCTAAAGCGCTTCTTTTTGCTTCAGTTGTAGATTATTTCTAATTTGAAGGGGTTCTGAAAAGGATTTAGCAAACTATGCTGAGGGGAAATTTCAAATCAACAAAAACAAAAAGCAAACTTGAATGTTTAATTAAAAAATCAATTTTTCAGCAGCCAACTGGCCAAAAAAAAAGCACTTTCCCTCTTACTGATTAGGACACTTTCATAATCAACAAACTCCTCATAAAACACACTGCTTTCGCAACCAGGTTTCAGGTTTCCTTGAGTTGTTTCAAATTATTTTAAAGTTACATAGAGTCTAAATCTTTCCATCGTAGCCAACCAATCACTGTTGAAAGTTGCCTCAAGCTTATCAAACAAATATTCTTAAAATGATCACATCCCTGTAACAGCAGCAAAGCATCAACTGCCTTCATGGAGGCCATGTGGCTTGTTGCCACAATCACATGTAAATACAATATAATGTGATCCAATCTTCAACTTTCTGACTGGCAAAGATAACGTCACCCGGTTAGAAATCCTGGTCAGGGCTAAAAGCATGCAAACACAACCATGATGAGCATAGACGGATTTGTAGAAGAACAAGCAATGATCCACAGCAACATTAGATTGTTGTGCAGAATGAGGCATAAGACTAAATCTTCAGGCGACACCGGGTGTAGATTTCAGACTCAAAGCTGAGAATGGTATAAAAAAAATGGGCCCTCTGAGCTACTTTAAAAGAAAGAAGGGGAAATCTGGGTTGGCACAAGGAAGGACTACATTGCGTCTGAAAGATCATGAAAATAACTTTGAAGTAGGTAAACATTCTCAGGGATTAGGAGTTCACAGCAGCCCTCATTTCAGCTACCGATCCCCAAGCTTCCATACACTGCCGGTGTCAGTGGCAATGCCAGTTTGTGTGCATGAGAATGTATTTTGGTTTCTTTTTTGTGTGTGTGTTGGGGGGGCTAAGGACCGGAGGAGGTGCCAGATAGATGTTAGGGTTCAGATGGAGACAGGCATCTGGACAGCTGGCATTCACTGCCTTTCAAAAACCCTTTACACCATCCAACACTTCACCATATCCCCATTCTGTCACTCTCCCCTTTCCACATTTTTCTGTCTTTTCACATAACTCTAAGCCTCGCTGGGGGATATAAAATAATAAAAGCAATTATAAAATAACCTTTTTGCAAGTGGGATTTTCCACACCAGCGGATTTGAAAGCGAGAGGAGAGGAAGAGGAAAATCGAACATGTTAATGGGGTTTAATTCCTGAGCAAAAGCAAGTCAGAGTTCTTGATTCATCTGGTTGAATGCTTTGTATCTTGTGTGGATCTATGCATGCAAAGCAAATACAATTCCGGCAAATACTGCTAATTTTTCACACATTCACAGTGTGGGCCGTGACTCCTTTGAGTCCTTCACAGCAAGTTTCTATTTACGAAGTATGAATGGATTATTCATACATTTAATTGACACAAACCAAATTAAATTTAAGGTGTGGGAATTCACCTTATCCCACACCATATCCACCTTTCATAATTACCGTCTATCACATTACTAGTACTGTTCCATCTGTTACTTAAAAAACTCTGGATAAAAACAACAGTTCTTAATTAATCATTTGCTCTAATAAAACTATAAAATAAAAGAAAAAGAAAGGTTTTGATTCCAATCAATAACCAAATGTGCAGCCTATTGTCAGCAGTCCTTTTTCTGTGAAAGGCTGCAGCTCTTGTGTAACCACCTTCTTGGTAATACTGGAAAAAGTCCGGTTTTGGGTGCTGTTCTGCCCAAACCAGTGCAAATAGATCTCTTTGGCGGCCCAAGTATAAAAAGCAAATGTCCATCCGAGCTCCTGCATTGAAAATGAAATAAAAAACACATCTAGTTCCTCCTCCTTGCCCTCTTGGCAGGGTTCAGTTCACACTGTAAGGCGATGACACAATAAACCAATATCCTGATGAGGAATATGGCAAGAAGCCAGTGTGCTGCTCCCATTTTGCAGCTCTACGGGTGTTTTTTTTTTTATGGTCAAGGTAGTCCATGCTCTTCTGAGACATCTCCACCTAGGAGGCCTTTTTCAGAGATTTTCTCCACGTTGTCCTCCTGCTCTGACAGCCCCTCCTCCAAGTCCCTGCCATCTGGCTCATCATCAAGGACAAAATCAATGACCTCACAGTCTTTCTGCTGTAATGTCATTTGTCAAAAGGGGAGCCCCGGTAAATTTCTAATACTAATAACCCGAAACCTTAATACTTCAATTCTTGGGTTGTGATTAGTCTGTTTTCCCTTTTTCTTGCAATTGTATGGATAAACCATGTACCATGACCTCTGATGTCATTTTAACCAGGATGTATAATAATGCCAGATCTACTGATCGTCACCTTTACACGAACGGTTGTTACATTCACCATGAAACATCATACAGAAACAGAACACCATTCTTATGATAGATCTATCAAGTCCCCCATCAATTCTGTCATCAAGGTCCTATAAAAACTTGACACAATCTTGCCTTACTAACATGGCAATCATCAGCTTCCTTAATTGAACCTATTCTGTTAGATACGGAACATAACTGTAATGCACCCTTGAAGAAATCACATTTTCAGTTTTTTCCTCCTGTTTCATTCAAAACTGGAATAATTTAACTCAGACAGTATGTGAGGATAAACTGGGTCAGGCATCTCTTTTCAATGACAAGAAAAAGCACCTTAAACTCAATGCCAGTCTCCTTTTTGCTTGCGTTCACATTTCGGTCCCACTTTCCGTCTCCCTTGTCAGTTTCGAGTCAGTGCGACGTATCATATTTAAGCATTTTACAAATTTGTCTATTCACTTGTATTTACTTATCCAAGGTACTTGAGATTGCTTTGGTGTTGCTTTCCTTCGGCTAAATTCTGTTTGACACCTTCTCAAGGATGTCAAGTTTCAGCGACTGCTTGAACTGCAAAGTCTGCAACATTTTGTGGAGGAAAATCCTGGCACACAGCCACGTTTTTAGAATGTTTGGTGAACGTGATAAAAGAGCCCGGGTATCTTAAAAACATGACACCATGTCACACAAAAACAAATAACTTTTTTTTATCTACCAATATTGATTTCTAGCAGGATTTAGAATGATAAAGACCTTCTTGCTGGAAACATCTTTCAACCAGCACAGCTAAACTAACAGTTTATTGGTTTAAGGAATACCACCGTCCAGTTACAAAAAAAAGACCCCAAAAAAATGTGTTTCTTTTGTCACAAAAGACCAAAATAAACTCCCTTCCTCCAAAATTCTGTGCCGGTTAAATATTTCGTCCACGGTTTGTGTTTTCGTTATTCATGTAACAACGTTTGGCATAAAAGTAAATGAACGTGGAAAGCAAGAGCTTAGTTTGATTGACTTAATTAGTTCTAAAAGATTAAGCTTAAATGGAGCTGAACAATCAATGATGGACTACTTTAGCGCAATTCCTTTAAACAATATAAGTAATACCTTTCATGTTTTGTGTTTTGGGGTGAAGGGTCGGACCACAATTATCATTACGACATGAAATAATACATTTGTGAAGACATTTATGCTCATTATTTTCAAACATTGTTTCTTTGCATTCAGTTCAACTTTGCCTATCATGTTTCCCAGTGGGATGCAGACATTTGGATGATAACGACCTGGCCAGGTACCATGTTGAAGCAGACTCTGTTCGGTGGAGAAAAATGACACTCCATGAGAGTAGCAATTCCTTGGTCTGAAAAATTCATATGAAATAGCTGTCCCATTTGTCCACTTATCCCTTTTTACGGCAACAAAGTCTGAACTGTCACAACCGACAATTTGGAAAAAATGCGCAACATTTCCTCTAATGTGATGATAGTCCCTCATTACACATTCTTAAGTACAAGGCCCGGTATAAAAAGATCAGAACTCCTATCAGATAACCGCAGGAATCACTTTTTGCTTTTCTTGAATGCAACCCTGTGTAGCCTGACGAGAGAATGAGCCTCTAAATCCATGTAGGAGATATGTGCATGCATGCATCGTCTAAACTTAGATTACACCTCTGCACAAAACACCTTGGGGAGGAAAAGAGCGGGAATGAGTTGAGAGAGAGGTTTAGAGAGGAATACAAACAGGCCGGAGATAGCGATCAATGACTCAAGAGAGGAGGGAGAGAGGAGAATGCTCAGCGGAGGAGGAAGAGGCGGAAGGGGAGAGAGGAGGAAGCGATAAAGGCGAAGCTAAAGACGGAGACCTCACACCTCCCTAACAACATGTCCGAGGGAGAGAAGAGGATAAAAAAAACCTACATGCATCAGTTTATGAAAAAAAAACACAAAAAAAAACAAGCACAAGTATCATTGATGGAGGCTTCTGACTGGCATCATCCCTCATTTTGAGAAATGTCAACTGTGGGGTGCCTCCCTGTGAATCATTTTAATAGAGAAGCCACAGCTGTGTGTGTGAGCGTGTGCGTGTGTGCAGACAGAAGAGGGTGTGGGTATTGTTTGTCACCAGATGAACTCGTGGGGTGAGACTAATGAAGAGTGCAGAGAGAAGGAGGGTGGCATTTTAATTGGCCTCTCTCTTTCTGTCACACTCCTGCCTCTTCTATTGGGGAGGAGATTGAATGTTGTCTACTTCACAGAGGTAAGAGAGGATTTCTATCCTCAGCATTAATCGTAGCTGAACTTTAGGGTAAAGCAGGTTTTAATTCTGTTTGTGTGTTGATTGTACTGTAATGATCGTTTTGAGACTACCACCTAGCATGATATAACCACTGAATAGGGAGCACTTAAAGAATATTGTTAAAAATTACATCTTCCATTTTGCTGGTGTTAGACGCTTCTTTCTGTGTCACGACGGAGGTAATTGCCCAATTACCACCACTTTCTACAAGGGTGGATAAAAACAACTATTCCTGACCTGAATCCCTGAATAACTTTACTAATTTGTCTAGAAATGTTCTGATTTGCTCTATTTTTGTGATGGGGCATGATATGTATGAATTGTGGAAATTGTTCTGTTTAATGTGTTTTAGCACTTATAAGATCTAATAATAAGTGGTGCCAATTTCAACTCTAAAATAACTTTATGGTAAACACTAGATCACATAAAAATTCCTTCTCTCAAAAATTATTTTGCTGTTAGAAAAGGGGAGATGGAAATAAAGTGTGTTGTTGGTTGTTATATTTTCATTCAAACTAAAACATCCAGTTCAGATACCTAATTAAAGCAATATCTATGTGATTATGCACTGATCTGGGTAACTGTGAGAGTATAGTGAGATAAACAGAAAATGTGTTTTGGAATTATTATCGTTACCACAATTCTGTGGATGCACCTGTTAACACAAACATTGTGATTCTTGAATGTGAATTTCAAATGCAAAAAAAAAAAAGTTATTTTCTGTCAAAGTCACCTGCGTGTCTGTGCTGATTGTACGTTGTCTTCATACGTTAGCGTCTGGCAGTCACACACAGCAAAAATCTTGATTTTGTGATTGAATAATTCCCCAAGCATCCGTCGTGAAGCATTCTCTCAGCTTCATCCAATGCTAAATAAGCTGCATGTTTGACATGTGGTCATCTAATATGAATCAGGTCATCTGAGTCATCCCTTCAACAGTTTTCAACAACAGGAGGGTAAGACTTTAATTCTAGAGCTCAAGAACCCAACATGAGCTCACATTCAAACTATACCCTATATATACATAAAGTTAACTTTGTTTGTTATATTGTAATAGTGAAATCCGGAATACTGATTCCTTAGTAGATTATTGACAGCCAGAATAAACCATATTTTCCTTGTGATTTGACAACCTAAGGCCTCCCATCTATGGGTAAAGGGCTGGTACAAATTCCTTCTCTCCCATCGCCCCTTTGTCATTCCTGTTTCCCCTTATCGTTTTATTTTTCCGAAATTGCAAAGTTAGCGACAAGCTCTTTCCCAAGTATTACTCTCCACCTTACTCTCCCTGCCTTGTTCCATCCAGCATGTTTTTTTCATCTTCTGTCTTCCTCTCTGATAGCTCACTATAGCAATACGTAAAAAAGAAGCGTTTCAAATGGAAAATCTCACCCTGTCATTCTGACCTGCTGTCTGTCTATCTTATTCCATCTCCCCCTCTTTCTCCAATACCATCTTCCTTCCCTTCCGCTATGGCACTGCCTCATCCTCATGTATATTTATGCTACAAAGCTGAAGAGTCAGGCAGACTTAAAATGAAAACTCCAACCAGAGAGTGTGTGCTCATTTTGTGAATGTGCGCACCAGGCGTGTGCAACTCTGTGAGGGAATGTGCACTCTTTTATCCCTCTGGTAACAAGAGGCTTTTTTTTTATATTCCAAGGTGGAATTCCTCTTTACCTCACCACCCGCAGAGTGTGCATGTATCCTTTTTTTTATTTTTTTGTTCTTTTATTTTTCCTCAAGCCTCTCCAATCCTCTCATCTCCTGCCCAACTTCAGCAATGGACAGATGGCTCATTTTTTGTCAGAGTCTGACAGGACAGATGAAAGTGACATTTTAATCTTAAGAAGTGATTTGGGAATGACTGCATGTGCAGAGACACGTTTGTGTGAAGCTTTTCTGTTTGGTATACCCGGTGGATGCGGAGAGATGGGTACCACTGTTCTTAGCTCATGCATATGCCATGCCACCCAGTCTCCAACAAACTCTACATTTCTTTTCTCTGATAAATATTTCATTTTCCCAGGAACAGAATTTTTGCATGTGTGCAAATATTGTACTTTTGTATGTAAACAAGGACGCACAAGCACATCTGTTTGTAGCTGCTCATGGAAGTGTGTGCATCGAAACAATAGCAGTCTTGAGAGGCGTGCAGCATGGCTGACTCCCCCTTAGTTTCCCTTATAGGAGGAACGTGGGAAAAGAGGAATAAGTAGCTTTCATCTTTTCACTATATTCACTACCACTCTTTTGTGCTCTCATCCCTCCTGTTTCCCTCTTAACACCGCAGCTTTGTTCACTTAAATGGCCTCTTCAGAATAAACCTCCCTCTGCAAATGCTCTGTCCTTGTACCCCAACACATATGACTTGATGCAAACACAAAGAGGCATCCACACACACACACACATATATGATCACACATTACTGTGAAAATCCCTTCAGTGCACCAGTGCCACAGCTAAAATCCTCTGAAAGTATCTCCTGGAACAGCCTTTTGCTGAGGTGACTTCCACTTCAAATAAATTTTGGAAAAAAAATCTTATCTTATCAGCACTGCAAATCAATCAATTATAGTTTTTTTTTTTAGGATGATCCCAGTATGATAGATCAAATCCAGCTCTACTGACCCGAGAGTAATTGATCCTGTCAATCCCACTCTGCCTCTCTCTCTAATGCACACTATCCGACAATTGTACATGATCAGCCTCCCCCCCCCCCCGACAACAATACCTTCACATCCTTGGCGTTCATGCGTGTGCCCTCTTTGCCAACAAAAATGTCATCTATATCCACCAGTATGTGCCGGTCCAGGCCCAGAGTGAGCTTCCTGTCCGTGAGGTAGGAAATGGCATCAACAAGGATGAGCCGGTGGAGCCAGTAGCCGAGTCCCTGGCCAAAGAGCACTCGCCTCACCCCGTCGTAAAGTCCCATGTCCTGTACCACCGTTGCCTGGAGGCCAAGACTGAATCCAGGCCCCGGATTATCCCCGCTGCCCGCTCCTATTCCATCCTTAGCCCGTGCGTGCAGCACAGCCTGGTACGTGGAGTGATTGGAAGAAAATGAGGTCCAGTCCTCCCCAGGTAAGGCCCCTCGATCCATGCTGGGTTTGGTCAGGTGGAGGAGCGGCGAGCTTGACACCACGCAGCAGTCCCACAGCGCCTGATTGGTCCTCAGCACCAGCGGCAGGCCGCGGAGCTTCAGGACAGATGGGGAATTCTCGGTGGAGCGGTAGAAACCTATGATGCCAACTCTGTACTCGGTACAATATTGATGCAACAGCTGTCTGTTCCATGTATCTGAATGTGCATACTTTAATAGATTCTCATAAATTATGAGCGAATAGCGTCCACGTCCCTTTTCTGTCAGCGGAGGAAGTTCACCTTTTCCTGAGGCGATCTCCATGCGGAACTGGAAATGGGCTGACTCCAATATAGCCACGATGTCCTGACCTAGCTGAGAGTACTGGGATTCCACCAGCACCAGCACTACGGGGTCAGTGTGGACGTGTGTGTGGGGGGGGTTGGGCGGGTACGGGTAGGGCAGCTGACGGTACGGGGACATGGAGAGCGGCTGGGAGCAGGCCGGCTCAGCCGATTGTCCGAGTTGCATGGAAGGGGAGGAGTGCGTAAAGAGGAAATACGCTGAGAGGAGCAGAGAGAGGAGGCAGCAGGAGGCCAACAGGAGCAGTAACCTACGCAAGTGGCGACGGAATCGCACAGCCACTGTCATCGTGAACTGGGGAGGGACTGTGTGTCAGCGTAGGAGATGTCTCTTTTTTAGTTTGCGGGAGTCTCTAGAGTATGAGCAGACGTTAGGTGGTTTGAAAAAACCCAGGAGATTGTCTATGCGCGCGAGATGGGAGCAAAGCCACTCAGGTATGTCATGTCACCATGGCAGGTGAAGAGGAGAGCTGCACAAGGTTTCGGGGGGAAGAGATGTCTTGCTTGAGGAAACGCAGTTTTGAGGTAGTCTTCTTCAAGCCCTCGCCGAGGAATCACACGCACAGACGGAGCGGGTGATGATTAATATCTGCACAGAAAGGGGACAAGGAGAAAAGAAAGAGTGAATTTGTTGAGCAAGGTTGAACGGGATGTATTAGTTGTGTGTGTGTCTGTGTGCTTGGAGGGAGTGTGTACCTAGGCTGTGCCACCCCGGGGAATGTGCGGGCACAGCTGGTAACTACAGAGCTGATTGAAAACAACTTGCATCCTTAGGGCTTAGTCGGACTCTGCCCCACTCATGCACACACATACATACAAACACACACACGCACGCACGCACACACGGACACATGCATAATGACATCCCAGTTAAAACATGACACAAAAGTCCATTGCCACAAATAAACAACAGCTGGTTGTGTGTTAATATGGCAGTGCGGGGAGGTGGATGTGAGCTCAACTAATCAGTCCCATAAAGCCCCACGGAGAATTCCTCTAATTGTGCCAAACTCTGAGCACCTCTGTCCCATTTCTGAACCTAATCATCTGAAATACCACAAAATTAGAGTTGGAATCCTTTTACCAAGAGCACTAATCTGGAGGGAGCCGATGGCAGTCCGGAGGAAATGAAGCTCAAGACTAAGAGAGACAGGGAAAAAAGGAGAGGAGAGGGGAGCAAAATGCAATGAATTATAGAAAGAGACAAAAAAGACCAGGATTAGCATCTTAATGTATGTGCCGGGAGCCAGGGAGAAAAAAAGATTCCCACAGCATGGACTCCTCTCTTTTCTCCCCCCATCCCCTCTCCCATTCAATGTCTACTTCTGTCAGTTTAAATAATATCAACAGCCTTTCCTCTCCATGCTTAACTCCTCATTTAGTGAAGACAAGCAAGAGGTCATAAATGGATTCCAATTATATCCTACAAATTTCAGATTATAATAGTATTTTCTTAAAAGAGAAGGACTTCTACGATATTCTTTATGGCTCAGTTGTAACGCACCCCTTCTGAGGTACCCTGAATCGAACCTCTTCAGAAAGATGAATAATATATAGGTCTTTAAATATCCAGCAACAGCTCTTCTTTGACGTGTCTGGGAGGCATCAGATTCAAACATTTTTGGGGAGGACCCATGAGTGTTTTGTGGCTGTAGGTGAGGCTCCTTCAACCTGTTAGCAGAGGCACGGGGGCCACGGGAGGGCGCTGCTAACGGACCGGTGGCCACTACCTGGAAGTTTTCACCTGTCGTGTTAGCAACTCTGGACGCAATTCTGAAAAAAGAGGCAACTAAACGCGACATTTTATCATAGGACGCCGCTGACCGTACGTCAAAGACAAGAGGGAACTTTGAGAAGTGAAACCTCCTCAACGGCTGCGCACGCGACGCTGATAGCTCCGAGCTTTGCAAACACAATGGAGGATAAAAAAACGCTTTTTTACTTCACCCGTCTCTTTCGCCTCCAGTGAAAGTACCCCGTGATAAGATTTATTTATTTTTATTTTTTTTGTTAAAGACGTTCATGAGTCAAACCGGGCGGCAGCTAATTCCTCAGAGTTTACCTTCTGGCTTCCTACCGCCGAAGTTCCAGATAAGAAGCCGAGCACCGACTCGCCCACTTACCTCTGACCGGGGCCGGGGCTCTGCCGGGCCGGGGAGGCGAGGCGGCGCGGCGGGGGTGGTGCTGGTGGTGGTGCCGGTGGTGCTGCGGGTCTGGACGCCGCGGCCGTCCCGTCTGTTCCGGCCGGCGAGGCGCTGTGCCATCCCCCGCTACCCCCGCTACTCCCGTCCCCCTATTAGAGCCACAGGGGCGACCAACCGGAATGATCCGTTCTCCTCTCCCCCTTTCATTATGCTTCCCCCCCCCTTCTCCTTTTCCTTCACTCGTATTCCCCCCGCTATATGCTGCCCTCTCTTTCGTCCCGAATCTCGGTCTTTCAAACGGAAACGGAGAAGCTCCGACGTGCTGAGCTGCCCGGTGACGACTGGCCACCGAGCGAAATGCTGAGTTTTAATAGCGCCTACACAAGTGGACGAGATGGAGGGAGAAAGAGAGATAGAGAGAGAGGGAGAGAGAGAGAGATGGGGGGGCGGAAAGAGAGGGGGGGGGGGGCTTGGGTTGATTGACACAAACAGCCTTTTTCTCGGGCATCCGCGTTCACGGAGCGGATAAAAGCCCACAGCCCGTTAGTTGGTGTTAGTTGGGAGAGGGATGTCACACAAGGATACGCACCAGTGGAAGCTGATTGCGCGTCTTACTGATTCCCTCTGACCGCTTAGACAAGTTGTAGCACTCAAGGAAAAGAGGCAGAAAAAGGGGGGAAAGGGAGGAACAAGTAGACCAGAAACCACGGTCCAAAAAAAAAAAAAGTGCGCTTTTATGGAGTATAAAGGAAATAGGCTACAGGGAATGTCTGATCATCGCTTTTCCAATCACTTGTTCATCCATCAGGCCAACAACATCTGCAGAGTGTCGATCAAGCAGCCACGGCTTGTCATTCATAGTGTTTTAACTTGATTAGGTGTTCCCTTCTCACTCCCTGCGAGTTCATCAATCTCTCTAACCTATTTGCACTGACACACTCTTACTCACACAAACCTCAGTGGAGCTGGTGGGCCCCTCATTCAAATTATAATGGCTTTACAATAGAGCTTAGTTAGTGTGTGCCTATGTGTGTGTGTGTGTGTGTGTTTGGGATGGGGGGTGCGTGGGGACTCCATGCTTAAAAGGAGAAGCAGGTCAGCCTGTGAATAAAATGTGTGAACTTAAAGGGAGACAATGACAGCGACTCAGTGGGTGACGGGAGGCTGGTTTAAGAACTAAATATGTCTTATGTGAATTATCAAGTGAGTAAAAAAAAATCAACCGTTAGCGTTTCATTGCGATCATAAAGGGTATAAAGGGTATTCCTTTGGCACAATTTTTAAGAAAGATTACTTATCAACCACAGAGGAAAGGGTCTGAGAAAAAGTCTGGGCACAGCACACTTAGCACTTTAATTATATTGTTTTTAAATGATAAACTAAAAATGATTCAAACATGACAGACTTATAATTATACTTTACAACCAAAATTTCAAATTTCCTTTGTGATTTGAACCACACATTTCTTAATGTGGAAAATATTGGCTGTATTTGTAGCAATACCTTATTCTATGTGAATGCTTCAAGCGCAAAATCAATGTGTTTTTCACTGTCATTTTAAAACATATCAAAGGAAACGCTCCATTTAAACATTTTGCCATCTTTTTCTAGTTTTACCTTGCTTTTTGGTCACCAGCTGTGCAACTTGAAAGCCATTGCCGTTGTGATTGATGTTGATGTTGTCTATCCATCCAGCCATTTTTCATACCTTTCTATTGCAAGTAGGGTCACAGGAGGCCTATGTTGTCTGTTGAATGAAAATAAGAATTTTTCCTATTTCTATGTTATGCAATTCTCATAAGTGAGTATTTTATTCAGAACATAAGATATTATCAAATGTTGATAGTGAGATATCGTACTATTTAATTTCTAGCTCATGTTGACTTTGGTGGGGCAAAAAAGTGGGTCGGGGCCAACAATAAGGAATGAATAGTGAGTCTTTAAACAAAAGAGCTGGATGAACATGTAGAACATGAAACATCTGGTGTGTTGAATCAAGCAGATTTTATTTAAAATCTCAAGTTATAAACAGCATTTCTGGGGATGAGGTCCTAAATGGGTGGTGATCTGCAGAAAACAGGTGCAACTTGTTCATTGAAATAAGAACAAGCATCCCAAACAAGATGTTATCAATCAAGAACCTGAAATTGACCAGCGACCCTGCCAAACCTTGTCTCCTGTAGCTGCAAATGAGGCCATGTAAACATGAGCCTGATTACAGATTCAGTTGAATCTTTTAAGCTGAACTCAAATGACTCAGGGTCAAGTATAAAAAAAGAGTGTCTGTCAGATCACATTTTCAATAAAACTCCTCCATTACTGCCATCACATTCTTCAGCTTTTTCTTTAACATGCATATATGTATCATGCTGGATAACATGAATAAAAAAATAATGAGGAAAAAAACCTTTGAACAGTCAGTGATTACTACATTTGTTGTTCATGCCTGGACATCTTCTACTATCGCAGAAAATGAAAACAAAAAACTACTTTTACCATTTTGGTACCTGTTTTTAACGACAAAGCATAAGGTGAATTCCATGTAAATCTTCTCCGGATGATTATATTTTGTCAAATCAACTAACAATGACATGATTTAGCAGCTATTCCGTGTAATCTTTTGGCATTCCACATGAATTTATATGAATCAGTCCAAAACTAATATTTAAAAAATATATGCTACTTTTAAAAAACATTTTAAATTTTTCATCTTAATTTTTTTTTTTAAACATCAATTTAATAATTGGAAAAATAATGTCCTATACTATCTTATAATGCTACATACATGATACATACTGGACCCAAATCTCACAGAGATTTTTCCATTTCCAAATCTTTAACAAAACATTACGCACAAGAATCTTGACAATTATTATTGATTACATTTACTGTTGCATTTGCTATTTAACTTTATGCAGTTTTGAAGATCATGCGTCATGTGTCACGTGCACCCAGTCCACAGTACACCATGACTTGTGACTTTGGGTGCCCAAACTTTTGCATGCCGCTGCGCATATGATAAGTATGTATCACTGAGTAAAGTCCGTTTTTGTCCTCCCATAAGTGTCCTGAATTTGAGAATTTCATACATTTGACAGCGTCACACTCCCGCTTAAAATGTCATCATTTGCTGCTCTCGCTGAGTGCAGAGACCAAGCGATAGTGGCGAAAAACAGCGCTTGAATGAAATATAACAGCCAAAATATCATGGCCTACAGAATGGAATCCAGAGATAATGAAGGTTTGTATTGGAGTGCGATAGCGTTTCTATGTAAATTAGTGTCAGTGGGTGAAGTGTAATTAGAGAGGCTGTTCACCCATTTCCACTGCATGACAAGAACAGAACCACTCCAGCTGTGGTGCTAGTTGGGGAAAAATAAGCCAAAAATGAAAACTAGATGCAGCACACAGGCAACAGTGTTTGCTGCACGTTCCCATGAACATGCGTGTTGAGGCTAAATGCAAT